AATTGCATCTATAAATAACCAAAATCTCCATAGCAATAACATATTAACAAATATTTCAATTCAAAATAGTATACTAAACTGAATTGAACAGAAAATAAAAATATATGGACTAGAAAATGAAAAGAGAAAAACTGGGCAGATCCACAGAAAATAGAAAATAGAAAATAGAGGCCAAAAAACAGAGGAAGAAAAAGCTGTGCACAATGCAGCTGTGGTTACTGGTTGATGTCGGAAACAGAGGGAGAGGAAAAACAAGAAAAAAGGAGAAGAAAAGGCTGCCGAAACAGAGGAGAAAGAAGAAAGGAGAACAAAGAAGAAGTAACTTTTTGGCTTTTACAGCTGAAGAGAACAAAGGGAAAAAGAGAACTCAGTAGACTCTTTGAAGTTTGAGGTATTTTAATTTTTTTCAAAAAATAAGTTTGAGGTAATTAACCCGAAAATCACGTTTTAAATTCTAAATTGCTGCATCAGTTTTTTTTTAAACAAAAGGCAACGCCTCAGTCCCCCTGCCTCGCGCCTTATCGTTTCTTTTCGATGTATGTTCCCCTCACCAGGCGACAAGGGCTCGCCTTGCCTCTCGCCTAAGGCGCTAAGACGAGCGCCTTCAACAATGCTGAACATACCCAAGGAAGATCTGGACATTTGCAGCTGTCACTAAGACCAACGCCAACCTTACTGCCATATTTATCCATGTAACTAAGACCAATGCTTAACCCATCCAATCGGAAGATAGAAGGAATACAAACCTCTTTTCCTCCAATAGAAAAGTCAGACTTTGGCACTTTTTTATCAATCAGCTAATTCAACTACAATTCAATCTCAGTTGGGTACAATCATCTAAGCACATTCTACTTATATAGGGTACATTTCATTCTAATACTAAATAATTAGACTTTTAAGTATATTAGGAGTTCTCTTTATCAAAAAAGTACAATAGGAGTTCTTTAACCAAAGATTCTCCAAAGCTCGCATTTATCCATATATGGACATACAAGTATCTAACAAAACTAAACAAACCTTTACAACCACCAAGTCTGACATTATGTAAGAACAACAAGAAGACTTAGTCCCAACTTCCTAAAATGATCCTTCATGTTCATTGTGTTTGTTCAGAACTAATGCAGATTAATATAGAGAAATTGTGAGTCCTTTAAGAAAGTACATCTCTGTTGCATCCTTACAACTGAACCAAAATCTTGGGGGTATAACTAGAGGCGGCTCTAGGATTTTTAAAACATGGGCACAATACTAAAGAAAGGGGGAAAATGCATTAAGTGGAAATATCCTTGTTCCTCTAGGTAGACAACTCAGCTTCCGATCAAGTGCATCATTAAGCCTTTTTGTAGAATGGGTGTCAGCATATAATATTAGATCAATTTTAAAATATGTAAAAAAAACCTCATTTTGTGGGAAGACCATGGATTCACGTGCACTTAAACTGCATGGAAAATTTGCTCTTGCCTGTAACAATCCAATACATTATAAGAATATTATAACTTCGCATATGATCATTAAGTATCTAACTCGACCGGGAGGCAAGTAGGTCATGGTGTAGAGGAGTTTTATGGTTTGATTAGACAGGTGATACTAGAAGATAAAAGAGGAAGCAGAAAGAAACGAACAATTTAATGATGTTTCTGATAGAGATTTCATCGATCTTGAGCAGGAATGATATTATGATCAGATTCTGATATTTTAAAGCTTGGAAGGACTTATGAAAATGTGAAAGTTAAACAGGTGATCTTTGATTGTACCTATAATAAGTCTCGTGTTTTTTTAATGGCACGTGTATATGGCATTTATTTATCAAAAATACTAGTCAATTTAGGATTGTTTTGTCTTTCTTATATGCATTATGTTTATTTTCAAAAACAAATCACACACTCCAACCGAGTATCCGTGTAACTTCTTTGCGCTTTATACTTTGGAAACACAGTTAACCTGTGTTAGAGCACACCAAGTTCAAAAGAAAAGGATTACTCCATAAAAATCTACATTCTAAAGACTCCTAATTGTTGTAAGATAACTCGAGCTCATAGATTTGGAGAGTCTGCTTCTGCACTGAAATGAAGACCTTCAAGAAGAAATACAAGACTAGAAAATTTTCTTTATCCATCAAGAAAATTAACTACCATAGTTTTAACAAAAAAAAAGAAGAAAAAATGAGTCAGGCAAACTCAAGACTCCCACTTCAACCAAAACATTTTTTTTGGATAATGGTGGTGTCCACGCCAACTAGCACACACCTCAACTAATTTCACGGGGTACCTTCTACCTCCTACCAGTACAAGTACCAGAAAACTCTATCAACCAACGTTTAGACAGATGAGAAGAAATTACCTAGTGTTTTTGCTTCTGCTTGGATGAGGTTTCCAACCCAACTCATTGACCTCTAGGCTACACTCTTAGATGCTAAAACTTTGACTCGTCTAAAACACCAAAAGTAATCAATAGTTGAACACTGCTAGAACAAAGGGATATGAATTATCAGTTAATGCATCCTAATGATAAGTATCTGTCATCTGGTGGACACATATCATAAGAACTGACATTAGAGTTTTCACAATTTGCATTGTTTCCCTATTTTTCACAGAAAATATTCCGCCACTTCATTAGATAAACAACTGTGTAAAAGAACCACATTTACTCTCTCTAACCTACTTTGTTCGTTAATTTCACATAACTAGGATAAATATGTCCAACATTTGGAGCTAAATCGAACATAAACTATCTCATCATTCAAAAATCCAAGTTGAACAATCAGAAACTTACAGAAAACACTAAAAATCAACATCTTAGATGATAACAAAATATGATCATCTGGAACAAGAAAATGAGGGTAAAGTTATACACTTTTGCATCCCTTCAGCGCAAAGAAGCATAATTTTGATATCAAAAACCTTTAAGCATTAAGTAACTATTACCAAAAACTCAGAAAATAGTTATAACAAAAATCATTTTAAAAATAAAATTTCAATAATTAGCAAGCAAAAAGAAGTACCAGAATCAGGGTTAATGAGATTGAAATCCAAATCAAATGGAGTTCCGGAGAATTTGAGGTAAACGTAAGCAGGTAAACAGTTAGGGCAAGAAGTGGGTAGTCCGAAACAGGATTTTCGGGTCACAAGTGTCAATTTCTCTCTCTCCTTTGCTTCTTCCATTAGAGATGGAACAATTTATGAGAAAATCTCTGTATCAACAATGAAATGAAATTGGAATTTTTTTTGGTGAAAATAAAACCCTAGAGATTTTGGGGAGGCGTTTTGTGAATTAGGGAATAAGTAAGGACTGAAAATAGTAATTTCCAGGAATAGAAAGCCTCTAGCTTATAATTTACGTAAATATATATTTTTTCTAAAAAATACTTTTCACTACTCTGAAAATACTGTTTCAAAAAATATTCTGAAAACAAATTATTTTTGAAAAAGTATTGAATGTTTGGTGTTTTATGGAATCGATAGGTAAAACATAATCAATTTTTAAACCAGTTAAAAATAAAAAAGTTATGATAAAGAAAGATAATTAGCATTTGGCTAAATATATAAATAATCTCTTTTAACTTGTCTTAGTATTCTATTTAGCCACCTAAGTAAACTTATTAGGGAATCTCCAACCCTGCCCTCTATTTTACTCTCCAAATATAGAGTTTTCTATTTTTTTCAGACAATCAACTCCAACCACATTCTCTATTTTACTCTCTAAAAAAGAATTTTCTTCTCTCCTCAATATTATATTATTATTTCTATTTCATTTGCATTTCCTTATTTCATAATATAAATCATTTCTCCTTTTTTTTCAAATAATCACTTTATATAATTTTTACGTAATATAAAATTTATTTTTTCAAATTAATTATTTAATATTAAATTTTATTTTATTCTAAATTTCTAAATAACATAAATTGCAAGTTATTTATAATATACAAAATAATGGATAATTCAAATAAAATGAAATCATCAATGAAATACAATTACATAAAAATTACATAAATCAACAAGCACAATCGCAATCACAACCACAACAATTCTCTGGATCATACACTAATTTTTTTTCAAATATTGTTAAATCTGGAAACGACCTACCGAATTACTGAATTATTGTTGTGATAAAATTATTATGTATTGTTATCTATATTTAAATTATTATGTTATGTATTATATTTTTTAAATTAAAATTTCCATCTTATCATTTTACTTTTGTGCATTCTTCATAGTGAAAATTAATAATAATATCAAATTATATTAAAGTGATGAAAATTTTAAAAATGAAATATTATTAATTCGGGATGAAAGTAGTGTATATCAAATAATATATTTTTTAAAATGTCATATTACATTTAAAAGAATTACGAATGTTAGATATTTAATTAATGACCTTATATTAAAAATAATATGTTAATTACAAAATAATAGAAATATAATAAAATAATGAAAAAGTGAAATAGAGAGTGTAAATAGTAGTTCTCCAAATTTGGAAAACTATTATTCACCTCTCTATAAATGAAGAATAGATAGTTAATTAAAGAGTGGTTGGAGAGTCCATTCTCTATTAATTAAAGAGTGGTTGGAGAGTCCATTCTCTATTTTACTCTCCAAATATAGAGAATGGAGAGTAAAATTGAGGTGGGTTGGAGATGATCTTACTCCTGTCCACTTTTGTTCGTCATAATTTCCTTTTTAGAGTCAATCTATTAGAACTTTAACTAACATTTTACAATGTATTTTTTTATTATATTGATATGCAAAAAATTGTAATTTATAATATTTTTCGTATAGGTTTGAATATCTATATTTTTTGTTTAAAATATCAAATTAATGTAATCTAATTTAACTTTAAATTTAGTAAAATTAACTTTTGAATATTGTAGCATAACATGGACAAAAGGAGTATCAATTTGATGTCATCTCAGTAAAATGCGACGGTGATTAACTGGGCGTTCTTAAAGAATGAAGCGTAGTGTGACAAATCCACAAGGACAATCATCAGTTTAAAATTGTCGATACTTTTAAAGAGATTCAGCCATTCTTTATGAAAGTAACTCAAAACAAGAGCAAAAATGAGTTCAGAGAACCATGAAACACAATGTCACGAGACAACTAAACAGCAACTGATAATCCAATGTTTTATCAAAACTTTAGAACCAACAAAATGAAGCTAACAAAAGATGAAAGCAACAGAAAATTGTACTACTATATAGTAATGCCAATCTAATCAAAGAGTGAGAATCCCAAATCATCGTCACTCTCTTCTTTCTCTTCCTTCTTCTCCTCAGCTGGAGCTGCTTCTGCAGCTGCTGCACCACCGGAAGGAGCTGCTGCTGCTCCACTACCAATGGAACCACCGCCGCCACCACCACCAATGATCACCTATACAATGTGCAAACAATGAGGATAAGAATCATGTTCACACAGTACACAAACTTATCAAACAAGAGCAATCCCTCTATATTCAGAGAACCAACAATAATAAAAATTTACAAAATTCACAGGCAATCGAAGGCTGTTAACACTCCCTTTTGGAATGTTCAAATTAACTTGTACCTTTAGGACAAGACTAAGTGTGCTTAATTTACTACGATGAACGTGTTATGAGGTATCCAGCGTATGTTATCAGGCCAGAAGAAACCCTCTATAGATTCCACCATAGCGAGTCCGTGTTATTTCATTCCAAAATAAGGACTACAGTAAAATTAAAAAACAACATTCAAATATGAAACTGGGAAAATCAAACAAAGTTTTGTAAATCAATGCAGTTGGGGGATCTCAGACATCCAAGGAAGGATAAAAGCAGCATTATCTCTCAAGCCTGGCGAAGGCGAAAGATCTTAGGCGGCCACTGCGAATGTTTAGAGAAACAAGCCTTCAATTGTATCATCACAGAATCCCCCAATATAAACACTCAACCAGCAACACATAAAGCACTAATTCTATCAACCAAAATTCGCAAACAATGTAACTAATCAAGTGATCAAATTCCAGTGTAGTCCCTTTTCTGTTCAAAATACTAAAACAACCATCCAAATAGCCAATGCGCTTCCTTTTCTTCTTATTCAAAATCACTAGTACCATAAAATTGCACATGAATCACAAAGAAGGAATCCATACACTATTTGATTCTCAGGTTAAATCAGACAGATAAATGAACATATTCCATTGATAATTCAATCATCAGTCGCTAAACACACACGCATCTCAAATACTCAGATCCAAGAGATTCATAACGAAAAATAAAACAGACCCATTAAATTTTATACCTGGAAAACAGCGGAGGAAGGTGTAACAAAGGAGAAAGATGACTGAACACCACCAGAAGAGTCAGAAGCAAGAGCAGCTTGAACAAGCTTGCGTTGAAGATCATAGGTACAAGAAGCAGATGCTTCTAGATCACCCTTGAGTTGCTTAGCACTCCATTCATCTCCTGAACCTTTGCAAACGAAGGTGAAAACTCCCATTTCTGCTGCGGCTCTTCTCTTTCTCTCGATCTTTTTCACTATAGGATGATAACAGAGGCGTTTGGAGTTGAGTGTAAATTGGGGGTTTTGTAGGAGGAGAAACCCTAGGGTTGTTTACTATATTTGAAAAGACCAATATGTCCTTCTGGGATGAAAATATTAACTATTCTATCCTCGTTAGTTTTCATCCGATATTTGGTCCGACACAAATTTATTTGATCAAATAAACAAATTATAATTCTAATTATATTCTTTGTTATCACCGAAAATACAATTAATATTGTGAATAGATCGAAATTTTCTATTTGGAATAGAAACTTATATCTCTTCATATATTACTCTTTAATCTTTATTTTGAAAAACTTTACAAGACCCTCCGAGGTGGGGAGTAGTACGTATAGTTTCACCACGATTCATGATTTTTTTAGGTATTTAGGAGCCATTTGATAGGAAATAAGCGATTTTCTCAGTTTTTCGTGTATGTTAGCCCATAAATTTTTTGGTGATATGACTTTCAGGTGATTTTTTTAAAAAAAAAAAACTTTACAAATCTGTAATGAGTTGGGGAGCAGTATGTATGGCCTCACCACAATTCACGCTATTTTTTGGCATTTAGGCGCCATTTAAAAGAAAATAAGTGATTTTCTCCATTTTTGTGTGTGTGTTAGCCCCATTAATATTTTGGTCATATGACTTTCGGGCAAAAAAATTTGAAAAAACTTTACGAGACCCTCCGTAATGAGTTGGGGAAGCAGTACTTATGGCCTCACCAGGATTCACGACATTTTTAGGAGGCATTTAACATGAAATAGATGATTTTCTCAGTTTTTTTTGTGTGTTAACCTATAAAAATATTTTGATGATATGACTTTCAGGCTATTTTTTTTGAATTTTTTTTACCATATACATGATTATGTGATATTAACTTGAGATGTGAGCAAACTAACCGAAACACAATGTGACATTAACTTGAGATGTGAGCGAACTAGTCCAAACATCACCATTATGAAAAAATACAAAAGAATAAAAAAGATGTGATATCATCATACTTCTATACTTCTAGTGTATTTGTTTGGACAACTCTTCTTTGCTTTTCAATTGATCAACTTTGAATTTGATCCAATTGGTAATTTCAAAGACAAAGAAGATGAAAGCAATAGAAGAAATAATAGCAATGTAGGTAGGTTTCCATGTCTCTTCTTCTTGCAATATTTTGATGCCTTTGAATATGTTGACACAAATCACAATCAACAATGCATAGCCAAGAGAAAGATGATATATACTCCAATATGTGTGAAGTTCATCATTCTTGTGGGGCTTTAATCTCAGTGCCAATGTCTGTATATACACATTAACCAATTGATTAATTAGTAGTGTACATTAAATTGTCATTGACATTATAATGAAAATAAACTAAAATCATAATTAAGTGATGGATTAATTCATGAATCATGGGATAAGAGTACATATTAATCATTCCTCGTCCGATCAATTTATGTGAAGGTATTTGAATAGAGGTAAAATTTAAGAGAAAGAAAAACCTATGAAACTTATGCATATATCAAACCGTAAAATTTATGCGACTTTAAATGGGAACTTTATGTGACTAACACTACTAAATTCAAAGGTTTTTTTTCATTGCGAATCAATGAAAAACTTGTTCTATAGAACATGATTTTCCTACTTATTTCCCATCGAATCTGCTCACTGAAAAATTGCATGGTGAAAAATAGATTCTCACTAAAAATATATAGTAGAAACCTTCCTAAGTTTTCCGTACGAAAATAAAGTAAAAATTTTTTCTTTTCGCACTAATTCAATCAAAATATCTATAAAATAGTCACAAAATATTTATCAATGAAAAATTCAATGGGAAAATAGTACTACTACAACTAAAAAGAAGGAGTGACACATAAATTGAGACAACAGAAGTAACTATGATTAACAATAAAAGCATATCATATATATTGTATAAAAAAATGAGGGCAGAAAATCAAAAGGTTGTTAGAGACGAGAAAGTAGAGAGTTTTACTTGTAGGGTGGCAAATGTGAAGATGGAAATACCATAAGCTCCATGTTTGGGAAAAGAGTAATATTTGGAATAATTTCCAAGCCAAAGGCCAATTGCCCAACCAGTTGCACCAAAAATATAGCCACATGCTTGGCATGCCTTATGAGCATGTTTCCATTGATCATGTTCATTCCAATGTATTGGTCCCTTTTTGAAATACCTAGCTATTATCACCCCAATAGGCAATATTACACCCCAACCTATAATGCTAAGTATTCCATGAGCCTGCAAATATAAAATTAATTACAAGTGTAAAATAAACTTTGTCTATTCAAGTGTAACTTATTACTTTCCAAAACATAGAATGTAGTTTCTCATAAGTGAAATTTGGGAGAGGAAAAAAAACATAATACATAAATATGTCCTTTAACTTTGCCTTGTATTTGTGGCCTCTAACTTTGGATGTGCACAAGTAGACACTTAAACTTGTATAAAATTGAACAAGTAGACGCACGTGTACGTCCTACGTACGTGGCATAATACACATAGGATGCCACGCATGACACAAGTTGGTTACGTAGATCGCCACTTAGGACTCAATGTTTACTTGTTCAACTTTATGCAAGTTTAAGTGTCTATTTATATATGCACAACCAAAGGGTTTAAAATATTGTGTTCTTATGAGTTTAGGGGTTCATTGGCAAATTGATAAGTAGGAGGGTCCAACTTACAAACGGAGCCAATTACAAGGGTCTCCCTGATCATTCCGCCTTACATAAAACCAATTCAACTCACATATCATGGTTAAGTAGCTTAATAAAGTTTATATATTATTAACTAATTAATCAGAGTTTAGTAAAAGATCTCTATACTAAAACACATAGTGTATGTATGTATTAGCTTAGTGTAAATATCTTATGTTAATAAGTTTTTACCTAGTTTGAAGGACATTACATGCATGCAATGAAAAATAATAATCAAAATTATTGATGGCTTAAAATAAATTTGCACTATCAGATCAGCTAAAAAATTACTATTAGACAATTACACAAGTTCATGAAAAATAAGGTGTAACCTCAGCTACCACATGCATGGTAAAATACAATATTAATAGGAGTGTAACATTATTTTATATTGTTACGTGTATATAAGTTAAATTCGAAAAAATATAGACATCACTTACAACTCTTGCTTGATGGCGTCTAGCAGATCTAATACTTAGAGATGTGCCAGTCTGCAAATCAATGATCTCTGTGCTATCATAATTTTTGAGTGTTTTTTCATGAAATTTGGGTTCCATTCCAATTGCAACTTTTCCAACTTGCCAAACATGATTAATTCTTGAAATATCAACTGTTTGAGGAAGATATATAGTGGCTTCTATAATGTGATATTGAATATGTCCAAGAAAACCAAATGTCAAATTGCTTACATTTAAATCAATTGGAGTTGGTAAAAGATTGCACCCTATTTTAATATATTGTGTGACATTGTATGTGTTACCAAGAAATGAACCATTTGTTTGTTTGATGCCAATAAGTGCTTGAGTCCCTACCATTCTTGGTTCTGGTCCTAAGTTCAAACCCCAAGCTAACCATCCTGTTTCACCATCTAATCTTGCTCCCACCATTACCTGGAACAGAGGTAAATTTAGAATTTAAAGTCGTAAATTAATGGTAGAACCAAAAATTTTACCTAGGGGATTGAAAAGAATGCTAGAATATCATACTTGAAATTTAATTTGAACATGCAGCCTGACCCGACTTTTGAATCATTTCTACCATTATACTACAAACTTCCTACAAATTACCAAAAGGATTTAACAAATTTAAACAATAATATAAAAATTCACCCAATTTGGTGTAATTTTCTGACAAAGGGGTGTTCGATCGATTTATAGGATATTGACAAGAAAAATTCCTATCAATAATAAAGAACAAAAGGAAAAAAAAAACATATTTGAAAAAAAAGAATTTTGAAAGGAATGGGAAAATAGAGAATTCAAGAGGTCATAAGTATCAAAATAAAAATAAAGACAACTGCTACAAAGAAGAGCTTCCAATTTTATGCATGTATTTATGTATCGAATCGAAAGCAATAAGTTTAGTTGAACTCATAAATTAACCAGCTCTAGATCCGCCTCTGACCTGGAGAGTTTGAGTCGTCGTGTTTTCAACTTTCCATCCAAATTCAACTCCATTCCTATGTTTGTATCTCTTGCATAATGTTAGATTTCTACTAAGGGTTTCAGATAAGAAATTCTCAGTGCAACGATGGGCATGAATTGTCAATGAAAATAAAGATAAAAGAAAGATTGAGTTTGAGACAAAAAATATTAAACAAGATGAAGACATCTTCACTTTCTTTTTTATTTCTTTAATTTATTGCTTTTTCTTTTTCATGTTTCAACCTCAATATATATAAGAGCTAAGTTAAAAGAGGGAAAGAAAAATAAAATTAACTTGAGCATGCATGATATTTTCCATGGAGTGAGAAAATTGGAGTTTAAAAGAAGTAATGTATATGTTCTGTTCTCTTTATTCATGTTTTTTCTCACTTTTTGTTGGATAAAGTCTGAGGTTCTTGTTTGGGAACAAAGTGTGATAGGGTAGCAATAAGGGTCGTGGTGGAGTGATAATTCTTTATTGTTAATTCAACGTCTCGAATTTGAATTTTACTATGTATGAAGTCTTCTTTATTAAGGATCATTTTATCCCCAACATTATCACAAAAATAACTTTTAGCGGTAATATATATGCACATTAATAATGAATGTTAAAGTCTTTGCCGGCATTAGTTAATTGTTCTTGGATTCAATGTCGCTATAGGCTTTAGAGACATTTACAAAAAATGTTAATTATCACTAAAAAACACATGTAACGGCAATTAAGCTATATTGACGTTAATTAATTGTTGTTGTAAATCATTTTTGGTGTAGTAATTATTTCCCACATGAATTAGAATTTAATCGCATTTCGATACGATCCCGAACCCTAAGTTGGAAATAAAAAAAAAAAGAGAGAAAAAAAGCGTGGGAAGGCAAAAGCAGTGTTTCAATT